AAAATAAAAATGAAGAAATCTAGGTATAAAAAGCAAAGGGATTTACCTAATGGAATGTAGCTAATTAGAGAGAAGATGAGGTGGAAAGAATTCTAAGTACAGAAGATGTGAATTTAAGTCTCTGCCTTGTTACTTACGATTTTAGACATTAAGTGCTGTTACACTGAAGGAATTGCAACTAATGTTAGGAAACAAAATGTGTATAAATTATTGAATGGAAAACTAATTTGCTCTGTAAATTTTCTCCCAAACCACAATATAAAAAAAAAAGGAAGAAAATTTTATGGATCACAAAAACAACAAAAATAAAATGAGCAATAGAAAAGTGCTAAGACTGCACCCTGTCAAAGGTGGAAAACTTGAGAGACTTGGAAAAACAAGGCAGTCCCATTGAGTTTCAGCTTTGACTAGTTTCACTGTATACTTAGATTATGTACATGTATTTATTTGTTTATTCTCTGCCCCTACAGAAAGTCTTAAAAGATCAAACTTCTTTGTTCATCACTGTATCGCAACACCTACTAGGTAGCCACCCAAACATATTTACTGATTAAATGAGCTTAATTGCAAAAACAAAAACAAACCAAAAAAACTGTTTGTGCCACCCCGGTATCTCTTAGGGTCATTGGTACAGTTAATAGATGTAAAGATTGTGAAAATACATACATACCTTTAGAGGGGAGAGGGTCAGGATAAATACATACTTATAAAATTTAAACTCCAATCATACCTTCCTTCTAGTTATGGGAAAGACTTAAGGAAAACTCTTCTGAAACAAACTATAGTTGATGGTAGAAAAATAAACAGGGCTCTAATTAAAGACTTTGCTAACAGCTATTTGGTATGTAAAGTGGGAAGGCTCCCTATGATAAGTAGAAAGGTAACATAACAACATAAAATTCTAAAATAATTTAAGAAATACAGATGAAATGAGTTTCACCAAAAGATACATTGTTAGAAATTATTTCCATTTTTAGTATTAAAGAAAGAGGATTACTAAGACTGCATTTTAGTGTCCACAACTTATCAGAACATTATCCCTACAGAGGAAGCTGGATCACAGAAGGAACTGAAGTGAGATTTTCAATAGCCAAGTACAGGAAGGTAGTGTACCTAATTTACTCAGGAGGAATGAGTACTTCACTTGGGGTAGAACATTCGGATAAGCTAGCCACTGTAGACAATGGTGAAAGGCTGTATGAGGTCAAGGAGCCCTCATTCCACGTAAGGTTACAAATGCCCTTCCTCCCCAGAGGTTTTAAGTACAAACTCAGATAGAATGGACTCTCATTTTCTCCCAAAGCAAAATTTTTCATTTTTCTGTTAATTTACTCAGAAGTGTTTAACTTCAAAACCAAAAGAATCCAAAACCTAAAAACATTTACTGCTTTACAAAACAATCCTCTTACACTGCAAGCATTAGGAGACATACAAAAAGAAATATGATGAAGTGATCAGGAAGGATGAAGGGGAAGTAGGGCTGCTTATACACAGATTTACTGGAGGAAAATTAACACATCTTAATATATACTGTCTCCAGAAGGGAACGGTAGTTGAAGCCCTTAACTAAATCAACTCAAAGGCATACCTTTACAAAACTACCCCTTAAAAACTATTTGCACTAATTCAAGGCATCTTTGCCATTAAGAAAAAATACTTTATAAGTGAACATCATTATATATACAGCTGCTTTCACTTAACCTTATGAAATAATTAACTGATGAAGAAAGATTAGAAGAGTGGTAAATATTGGCACTGAGTTATGTTACCACAGCAACAGTATCACTAGTAATGTGACATGTAACCTGCATGAGAATGGGACTGATTTAGCCTTTTTAACAGCCTTCAGAAATTATCCAACTCCTGCTTCAGTACTAGCCTTTTGGCAATCCTGGTCCTGGACAGCTATGGAGGAGACCCTGAGGGGTTGTCTCCAGCTTTCTTTACCTTTGGCCCAAAGAAGACAAGAATGAGAGAACATGGCAGGGAATAAAGAGAAGAAAATCTGTTAAACACCAAAATGGTCAGAGGCTAATGTGAATTCATACTTTCTTATCTCTCTGTTTCATCTTCACGGTTCTCTGTTCCAGTGAGTACCCCAGTTCTCTGGCTGCTTCTGTGAGTTTTTCATCTATGCTTTTCAGAAGACTAATTTTCTTCTTATCTGTTACTTCTTTAATTTTTTTCATCAAAAATAATCTGGAAAAAAAAATGTAAAAGCTATCATTATATTGCAGGCCACTGCACCAAGTATACAGACCACTGGATGTTAAAGGAACTAAATTAAACACTTTAAATTCCATGGAAGAAAAAGTCTACAAAATAATTATCCCAACAGTTCTCTCAAAATCACTAACGGATTTCTTCAAACAAGGGAAAAATGGTATTAATAAAAAGCTTCCAGTCCCATAAATAGCAAACATGATTCAAGTTTGTATTATGTCTATAATGTCTATGATAAAGGCAAAAGAGATTGAAAAAGCTGAAATTCATTCAAGTTATAAAGTACATCACTTGATACAGTATATTTTGGAGAAGTGTGGTATAACAGAAAAAGTATGTAGACATCAAAAAGGAATTTTATACTGTTATAATGTTTAAAGTCAGCATTTTTTAAAAATTTTTACCTTTCAAATTTAAGTTAAATTTAGAAAATGTAAAAAGAGAGCAAAGCTACTTTATAAGCTTACATAAAAGTACAATCCAAAGTAATCTTTAAAGGTAGGTGAAAACTGTCAACCACTTGGAGGGGGGTCTATGTAGGAGATCCTGGATAGAGTGGGAGAACAATGTAGAGCAAAACTCAAAATCATTAAAAAAAAAAAAAAAAGGGACCAGTTTTGCTGGTTTGATAGAACCTGGTGGAACTTCTGAAACTATGGCCGCTAGCTGCCCTTCAGGTCTGGAATTGAACCCACTCCTGTAGCTTCCAGCCAAACAAAAGACAGGCAAGCATATGAGCTGAACAATTTACATTAGGTAGATACACTCCTTGAAGAGATCAATCTTGGGAGAATAGAAGGGCTGTGTATGCACAGGGAGACAGCTCAGGTGGCAGGAGTGCATGGGAAGGAAGGACACAGGGAAGAAGTGGCTATGGTGGGAGAGCTGTTGCATTGTGGGAGATCACAGTCAATGTCATGAGACAAAGTGTATGTGAACTGCTGTATGGAAGATGAATTTGCTCTGTAAACTTTTACCCAAATCACAATAAAAGTTGGGAAAAAAAAGTGTGAAAACTACTATATATTGCTAATGCCAGTTAAGAAATAATTTTTTTATATTATTGTTCACAAGTTACGATTTTTGCCAGCACTCAGTTAAGACAACCCAGAGAAAACAATCCTCCCTTCCTCTGTAATCAGTACAGAATTCCAAGGAGGAAACTAATTTCTACTGCTCACTTTCAACCTTGGAGACTTGCTACAGGCTGGGCACTGTAAAGGGCTGAGAACATTTATACTGGGTGCTGTTCTTATCTCTGTTTCACAGATCAGGACATTGATGATATGTTACATTTTATCATAAACAGGTTAAGACTTTTGTCAGTGGAGCAGATAGAAGGTTAATAGTAATGAAGTTATTAAGGACAGATTAAAGTGCCACAGAGACTGAGGAACTTAAGAGCACCACAATGACTGTCTTTTCATTACAGTACATATGATTATACTGAAATTACCTTCAATCATAACCAGTTAAATCAAGAGAATATATTTAACTTATCCAAATTTAATCATGTCAGGCCCATAGAAGTCAATCCTTATGGTCTTCCTCAACCTCTCTGACATGGCACAGAAGCCCTTCAAGTACCCTGTGCTACATCTTCCCATATTTTCAGGCATTAGATTATTCCCTTGTCTAGGATACCCTTCTTCCCCTTCTTTCTAGTAAATTCTCATGCATCCAGCAAGTCCCTGATGAAATACCTTCTATGAAGACTTCCACCACACTTCAAGGTCCTTAACTGTCTGCCCATATTTAATACATTATTATGACTATCCCCATAAAATATATTAAGCTTCTGTCTCTCAGCTTCAAACTTACCTTCCAATACTCTGCTTTGTGATGCTTAAAGGTTTCCCTTTAGACAGACCACAGTATTTCACATGCAGAAGTGCTCTCTACGTACATTTCATCACACAGAATATTAAAAAGATGTATACTCAATGGTAGAGATTTAATTTTTCTGCTTTATCATCGACATTCTTAAATGATACTGACATTATATCACTGCTAAGAAATCTTAGCTCTCATTAGTATTGGAATAAGTTTGTTTAAACATTTTCCTAACTGTTCTCTATAAAGGTTTTTCCAATCAACACATCAGTAAAGTTCCTTATACCATAACCACCATTACCAATCTTACTAATCTTTGCTGGCTTAATTTGTATTTCTTGGCTACTATTAAATCTTGCACTGAAAACTAATCTCCATGGACATAAAAATAATTTGTTTATAACAAATGATCTGCCTTGAAAGGCCTTATTCAGGTCGATAAAGAAAAAAGCTAAATTAAGGTAAAATTGGCTGATTCAAATAAAGGTCAGTCTCCCCAATACTGAAACAGTTCTAATACTTAAAAAGTATTCAGACAGTTATATCTCACAGTAATCACTCATCCCTATGTTTGAGATAAATTATTAGAGACAAAAAACATACTTTTGTATGAAGTAATGTTAGTTCTTCAAATATTCACTTGCTGGTCTTCACCTATATTATAAATAATATCACCAATGGATTTTCTTTTTCTTTGTTTCCAAAAAGCTAAAGAAACACCAGAACAGTCTTGGATCATTTTAGATCTAAGCACTATTATGTTATCTTTCTTTTTAAAGAAAATTTTTAACACAGTAACACTAACAAGATAAATTTTAAAAATGGAAATACCATAGTATTTGTAGAATTAATAACTTGTTTATTGAACACCTACCATGTGGCAGGCACTATTCAGGAGACAAAGCTTCTGGCATCATAGAACTTATGTGTTAGTGGAAGAGATAAAACAATAAGCAAATAAACAACTACAGTTTCTAATACAGATGGTACCAATTTAAATTGAATGGTAAATGTAAAGGGCTTAAAATAACTGTCTAAATTACACAACATTCTATATAAATCTCAGAAGATTAGAGGAGAAGGAAAAGCCTTTTTATGGACATCTGTAATGCAGTGATATACAGAAATGTACCTAGCATGTTTAGTGGTAGCACTAAATTCACTTAGTTTGAATTGGTTGCTACAAATACTCTTAAATCACAGGGACTACTGTCTTTTTAAAGGTAGGGTAAGGTCGCTGGGTGAGTTATGCTCCACCACTACCTGAAAGATTGGCAGTTTGACTCCACACAGCACAATGGCAGAAGAAAGAGCTGGCTATCTACTTCTATAAGATTATAATAATTGAGTATGTACGTAGCACAGCTCTACTCTGAAATACATAGGTTCACAGTGAATGAGAATTGACTCCATGGCAATGGTTTTTTTTTTTTTTTTTTTTGGTTTAAAGGTACAGTATTAAAAGAGGTCATCCAAAACATAATCTCCTTATTACAGTTAAACTGGTAACAACTGCCTTCTTCACTTCCTCACAATTGAAACTGTGTAACTGTTCAAAATGGCTTCAAATCATGTTTGTGGCTGATATATTGCCTCACTCAACTGCATTCTAACCTCCTAACTGTACACAAGACAGCTTGCTACATTTCCCGTATTACTCTTCAGGCTCCATAGGAAGGTAGCTTCTTTCAAGCAGATACAAATCTTTTAAATCTGAAAGATAGGATTCAGGTAGAGGCCATCCTGATGCCATTTCTACCAGGGAGCTCAGCTATAGAGGCATGTGATTGCTCTACAGCAGCTGTAGTGGGAGATCTTGGCATCTGTTCCCTAACTTCATGGGTATTGGGAGGTAAGGGGCTCTGCTGGCATAGGTTGTGCCAAAGACAGAGTGGTCCTGGCACAGGCAGTAGTTCTTGACTCCCCAAGAAACTGGCAGTTCTGTTATGGAAGCAGTCTTGTCCCAGCTTCCTGTCAGAGATAGAGATAAACTCTATTGGTGAGCTAGTTCCGCAGTACAACTGTCATTCCTGGAAGCTCAATGTGTTCTGTCAGCTCTTCCAATGATTTTATAAGCAGCTGCTATTAAATCTTTCTGTTTGAAGTATACACAATGAGTCCTTACATTGAACTCTTAATGACAGTGTTTAAAACCAGACATCTAAAGGAGACCCGTGAAATCTTCTGATTTTGCCCTGGGCCAACTGAGTTCAAGATTAAAATTTTCATTAAATAATTAGTTATATGAGAGGGATTTTTTTTTTCCGTAGAAAGTAGCAGAAAATGAGTGTGAGTCAAACTATCACTTCTGTTCTGGAAAAGCCATGGAAATGATCTCTAGAAATTTAAAATTGTTGGCTTACCTCTATAGCCATTAATAATGGAATGACACAGTACAAGAATTATAAACATATTTAACTGTAAATAGAAGAGAGATTAAAATAAAATATTTTCTTACTTGACTGCAGCAAACACATTATCTCCACTTTGAACAATTACACAATTTTTCTTCGCTTCATTTGTACCAACACACACAGGAAGCTCATCAGGAGAATCTCTGTTAAGTAAAAGGTATTATTAATTTAATTGCTCATAATTTATATTATCAGGCAACTAGAGCTTTAGGTCTATAGATAACAATTTATACATGTTTGTTTGTTTTTTCAATTGGAATAAATTTTCTGGGTTTAAGATCTAGATTTCTTAGGAATAGTTATGGGAAATCTTATTTATGTAAAAGAAACTAAAATTAAGATTCTTAGAACCTGGTATTTTACATCCAAATACAAAGGAAAGGGGATGAAGACCTGTCAAAAAAAAAAAAAAAAAAATAGGGGAAATTATACACCATCATCTCTTTCCTACTTTTAGAGTCTCTAAGAAAAAAAAAAGGAAAAACATAAAAATAGAAAAAAAAAAAAACAGGACAGAGCTACAAAACATTAGATGGCAGGATCCTCCCAAACCAAACCAAACTCACTGCCACTGAGTCAATTCCAACTCATAGTGACCCCCACTGGATTTCCAAGGCGGTAAATCTTTATAGAAACAGGCTGCCTCATCTTCCACAGAGCGGCTGGTGGGTTCGAACCACTGACTCTTTGGTTAATAGCCAAATGCCTTAACTGCTACACCACCACAGTTCTTTGATAGGATTTTACCCATGTATAAAGCCAAACTATTTTATTTTATAATTAAAGAAACCAATACAGAGAGATTAAGTGACATTGCCAAGGTCCTAGTAAGTTAACAGCAGAGCCAGAAACAGAATCTACACTGTCTCAATTCTCATGCCCACTAACATTATTGCTTTGTTAGTTCTTAATGATTTTATAAACACCTGCTTTACTCTATTTACTTCTCCCTGGGCACTGTTCTTTACTTTCTCAACTGTAAATGTCTTACAGTTGATCACCACATTAAATGGCAACATTTCTACTGATGTAACAGGACAAAGTATTTTCCCTCAAGCTACCACTATTTCTCAAAACTTTGAGATCCTGTATGAATTAATTTATTCCTCATAATATTCATAAGAAGTATGTATAATTACTGTCCCCATTTTTACAGGAAATTGAGAATAATGACTGTCCCAAGGTCACCTACTAGTAAACAATGGGAGCAAGCTGTCTACTCTAGAACCCACTCTTAACTACCAGCTGTCACTCTGGCCACTGGAAGTACATGGCTTATTTATGTCATTGCAGCTGTTCTAAATTATCTTTTTTGGGCTAAGGGGTCTCTTCTGAACCCAAAAGAAAAAAAGTTGATAATCATGAAGGATGAGCCAGTGAGGTTAAACCTAAAGAGTTTATCCATCCTACAGTTTACCCATTTAAAATGGCAATAGCAAGAACAAGAGGGGGCCCATATATTCACCAATAAGGGGAAACAATGCCCTTCACCTTGGGTGAGGTCAATGAATGTCCATTTATACTGGTTAGAGGAGACATAAATTATATTTTAGAGGAGAAAAAATTCTTTACCTGAAATATCCCATGTGGTACTGAGTTTTATTATCTCCAATAATAATGGTCTGGAACTCAGGAGGATCGTAGTAAAACCTCCAGTGAAGGTTACAATTCAGGGCTGCTGATTTTTTCTTCATTTTATGTTTTCCAGCAAGGATATCATAAGGACCCACTAAATGAAGTCCAAGGCTTACAGAAAGTGAATCTATAAATAAAATAAATTTATTTTGAAAGTATCTTTCTGGAGGGAGAGAGAAAATAATGTCTTTCATTAGCAAACTATTTATAATCAATTGTTTTATGAAAAGAGTTTCCAAAGTTTAAAAAAAAAAAGTATTCAGTTACATATGAAGATGTTAATTATAAATGCTCAATGGAAAAGAAGCCAGAGAAGCACTTAGGATTTCCTCCTACATTTGCCACTGAATTAGCTAAAGATTTCAAACATTCCTTCTGTTTCTTATTTTAGCCAAAGCAAGAGAGTCTATAGTCTATAGTCCTACAGTAATATTAGAGGTATAAACACCTTGTCTCATTACTACACTTCCAACAGCCTCAAATACTTATAGCACACACATGTTGGGAGAGACAAATAGACAGCAAATGAGTATGGATTAGGAAAGGTAAAAAAAAAAAAAAAAAATGTTTCCCACCCTTCCCTGGGTGGTACAAGCACTTTACATGCTCTACTTCTGAAAAATCAGCCAATGAAAACCCTGTGGAGCACAGTTCAAATGTGACACACATGAGGTAGTCATGATTCCAAACTGACTAGAAGGCACCTGCTTTTCCTCTATGTCAGCTAATTGTCACTCTAGATTCCCTTGCCTCCTTGGCAATGTATGCGACCAACCCTAACCCTGGATCTACTGCAAAAGGCCTATTTAGAGCAAAAGATGTCACTCTGAAGATTAAGGTACACCTGACCCAATCCATAGTATTTTCAATAGCCTCACATGCATGTGAAAGCTGGACAATGAAGAATTGATGCAATGAAGAATTGAACTGTAGTGTTGGTGAAGAATACTGAAAATACCATGAGCTGTCTTGGACAAAGGACAGCCAGAATGCTCCTCAGAAGCAAGAATGGCCAGATCTCATCTCATGTACTTTGGTCATGCTGTCATAAGGGACTGGTCCCTGGAGAAGGACATCATGCTTGGTAAAGTGGAGGGTCAATGAAAAAGGGGAAGACCCTCAAAAAGATAGATTGATGCAGTGGCTGCAACAATAGGCTCAAGAATAGCAAGGACTGTGAGGATGGAGCAGGACTGGACAGTGTTTCCTTCTGTTGTACATAGAGTTGTTGAGTTGGAGCTGACTCCATGGCACCTAACAACAACCCTCCATGATTCCATCTTCTTTCTCCATTTACTGACCACAGAGGGAGAGTGTAAAATAAAACCACAAAGTCATGTGGTCTGTTCAAATGTATAATTTTCTAACTTCAGATGGTCTTCCCTGCTTCTCTGAAAGCAAGGTAAGCACTCCAGGCAGGACCTGGAGGAAGAAAATTTTTGGAAGAGGTACCTGTGAGTAAAGGCAGGGAGAGAGGCTATTTTGAAGAGGAAAAATAATTCAACTTAGCTGGAGATTAGGATAGGGTATACTATTTTTTCAAGTAACAAGAAAACTAAAACCACCCATTTCACTACCCAGAGATATTAGGAGTTCAATAGTTTGATATACAGAAAAAAAAAAAAAAAATCCACACTTTCTCCTATGAATAAATATACCACACCACCCCCCAAAAACCCTCTGCTGTTGAGTTGATTCTGACTCATAGAGACCTCCACTGGGTTTCTAAGGCTGTAAATCTTTATAGAAGTAGATAGCCTCATCTTCCTCCTGCAGAGCAGCTGGTGGGTTTGAACCACCAACCTTCTGGTTAGCAGCCAAATGCTTTACCCACTATGCCACCAGAGTTCTTTGTATGAACAAATATAAATATATAAAAATTTTAAAAGTGAGTTGTTTTCTAATCTTTTTGTCCTTTATCCTGCCCCACTAATATTTTCTGAGTATTTTCCCATGCCATCAAATTTACTTTAAGCCATGTTTAATGGCTGCATGATAGTCTATTAGAAAGAGGTACATACCCATCCATTCATTCTCCTACTGATGGACAGTTTTTATTTCTAATTTCTTTACTATTCTAAACAATGCTGTAATGAACATCTTTGCAGGTAAATGCTTATACACAGCCAAGACTATTTTCAGAGAAGTTGCTATATAATTTAAGTGTTTTGATACATTGTCAAAATTCAGAGTATGTACCAATATACATTACCATTAATAGTACATGCCTACTCCATTCCATGTTAGTTAAAAAATTCAAATAATAAAAAATGTCAAATAGTGAAAAGTAACTAACTCTGTCTCTTCCTGTCCACAGACACAACCCATTATCAGTTTCTTGTACATTTTTCAGAGATAGAAGTACATGAAAGGTATATAGATATGTGTGTGTATATGTCCACACTCTTTTCACTTATTTTAGGCATAATATTTTATAATTTACTAAAAATCTGCCACGTTCTTTTAAAACTATGAATATCTACTGAATAGATGCATTACTGATAGTCATTGAAGCTGCTTACTGGTTTCTGCTTCAATAAGTATCCTGGAACATAATTCTTGGGTCACATAATCCAAAGACAAGTTCCTAAGAAGCAGAATGATTAAATTGTACTAATATTCCTGCTAACATAGGAATATGCTTGTTTTTCCTTAAACACTTATCAAATCATATAGTAAAATTATTTACCCTTGCCAATATTATTGATAACAGGACATATTATTGTGGCTTTAATTTCTATTTCTTACTATATTCTCTTCTCAGAAACACTTTTAAAATTGTTCCTTTTCTATTAACTGTTTATATCCTTTGTCCAGTTTTCTATTAAGCTGTTTTTTCCATTTGTACAGACAGAAGAATGAATCTTGAGCAACTCACCAGCTGGCTTTTCAGGATCAAGTTCTTCACAGAACCTCCAGAAATGATAGAAATCTTCAGGCAGAGAGAGTTTATAACAACTTTCTACTTCTTTTCGAAGGTCACTGGAGATATCAGCTTCACAGGACTTACTTTTCTTCACATCAAGCGTTTTCTCACACTGATAATAGGCACACCAAATTTAGTTTACCAAAAATCATTTCAGTAGCTTTCTGTGTATAACAATATTGTTCATTCTAGTTTCCCTAACTCTACAAGAAAGGTTTTCTTTAAAACTCTGTAAGTGGTATCGCCAAGTAAAATCTGGGGATTCTTTTGGACCAAGATAAAAGAAAAAAGAATTTGTAACAAATGATGGTTAAGAAAGAAGGGTTCCGGCAAGATGGCGGACTAGGCAGAAAGACTGCACAGACCCTCTTTAACAAAGAATAGGGAAACCAATTAACACAGACACAGAAGATAATC